ATATATGAAATTTAAATTTAAAAAATTTTTTTATATATATATACACGATATAATACTGATATTATGAAAATTTCGGTTGAATACCGATCTTTAACGTCTAATACTGGTATTTGGATCTCGGTTTTGCGTATACCGCTATAAAATATCAGTTTTTAGTCCCTGATTTATATAATACTGAAAAATTAATATATTGAAAAATTAATATATTATCGCTATTTTTCATATTATCGCTATTTTTCGTTTTAAATTCCTGAATATAAAATAGTAGATTATGATAGAGATTAAAGTTTATATTAGTCATATCCTTATAAGATAGGTAGAGGAAAGAGTAAAAAAAAAACGGATTTTAAGGATGTTTTGTATAATTGCAAAAAGTGCCTGAAATTTGATTTTGACGAATATGCTGTTTTATGTATATGGTTTGAATAACAAAGATGGTATACAGAATCTTATCATTTACTCATAACTAAAATGCAGAAATGTACTTTTGAATTTCTATCGTTAATTATTTCTGAAAAAAAAAAAAAAAAAGAAAAATTTTTGACAGTGACAGTATCTCAAATCTAACCTTAAAATTCTTATTTTAAACTCTTATAATTTCAAGTTGCTTCATAGTGAATCGACTTCGGATTTTGTTATAAGTATCTGAACATATGTAAGAATAACCTGTAAAATTTTTGTAAAATTTCTAATATTTTAGAAATACGTATTAAATATTTTTTTTGGATAATTTTAAATTGTCGTCCATGTTCACTGCATAAATTCACTGCGATTCCGTTACTAAAACTGCATGGAATGCATTGGAGAAACAGAATGTACCTTGCACTCCATGCACTAAATACTCATGCGCTCTATACAAGAAACGGAACGCATCCTTAGGGTGAAGTAACACGGACAAGCGAATTTGTCCCAAATTCAAATTAGGATTACAACTGTTATATTTAGTTAGAGATGATGAAAATGAGTCCATAGGTCGAATGAAAATTTACGGCCTCTTCTCGATAATAATTAAAGCTTAGGTAATTTAATTAATATTGACTCGATGTTACGTAAGAGTCATGAAACATGAAAGTTAAAGTAACGTTAAATTGGTTGACAAAGTGGCAACATACTTTTAATTTGTCAAAATAATACATGACACTGATCAAGAAAAGCAATTAAGGGGAAAGGGGATATCGCTTTCGATACAACTTATTAAAATAAATCAAAATAGCTGTAAAATGAAATAATTATTATATTAAATAAGTTCAATAATAATGACGGAACATGAAATAGCAGTATGTGTGAAAATATGTATGAATTGCATATATTTATTTAATAGTAGCTTATAGTTAACATGGGCTGTGATAATTGAGCATTATAAAAAGATTTAGTTGATTAAATGAAGATAAAGTAAAATAATTCATTTCCATCTGATATCCATCTACAATCTGATATAATTGGAATAGTAAATATAACATGTAGACGTAGTAATATAATTCAAGAAACTTCTGAAATATCTGAATATTTTAAAATCAAAATCTATTGATATTATTATTTAATATTCAGTATTAAATAAAATAGATATTAAGTGTACAACTTTGCTTCCGCCGTTTTCCTATAGATGGCTTTAGCAGTAAGTGGTGGTCGAAATAAATAGATCATAGAATAAACTTGGGTCATAGAATAAACGTCATACAATAAACTTGGGCATCTGTCAACATAATCCCATAGAAACATTAGTCGATTTATGTCTGCATCATAAAGTTATTCTCGATTGAAAATGTCTGTTTACCAAATTCTCGTCATTTGCGGGAGGTTTTAATTTTTTGCTTCAATATGAAGAAATCTGCGGCTGAGGCTCATCGAATGCTCTCAAATACTTATGGTGAGGCCGCTATTAGTGAAAGAACGTGTCGTGAGTGATTTCAACGCTTCAAGAACGGTGATTTTGACGTCCAAGGTCATGCTCTGTATTTGGTGGGACCAGCTCGGCGTAGTGTATTATGAACTGTTAAAACCGACTGAAACAATCACAGGCAATCGGTATCGAACGCAATTGATGCGTTTCAGCCGAGCATTGAAAGACAAACGGCCGCAACGAGAGACACGATAAAGTGATTTTGTAGCATGACAATACTCGACCCCATGTTGCGAAAGTG